CTTGTAATAAACTATTTTTTTTATTTTTTATTATTTTGGTGGCATTATAACCAATGTATGGGGCGAGGGGACTGTTAGACACATGTCATAAACTCAATAGCTGGAAACCAAACTAATAGTGCTTTTAAAAATAAAACCTGCCTCTTGGTTGAAGTAAGAGTAAGATGGACTTTGTCCATGGAAACCAGGGCAGAATCGTTCCCAAATTATTCCAGCGGCATTTTCCAATCTAATTGGTCAATCCATGTCTACCAGCAGAGACCAGTGTCACTTCTTCTAGTTGTTCCCTCGCCCCCTCTTAGACCTGGCCTTGTAGCTCAGCTGAAGGGATGTACGACCATCAACATTTCCTCACTATAAGTCATATTACTGTTGCTTGGCCTAGTTTTAGGTGTTCTAGCTCATGCTTCGTTCTCTAGAAACACTGACCACAAAATCTAAAGTAAGGTGTGCGGTTAAGGGGAGTGTTGCTTCCATTCAAAGTAGGGGGAGACCTTCCATATTTGCTGTCTGTGTTTGCTGGGAATAAAACCATGGGAGCGGTGGCTGGGTGCACCCAAGATAACATTGAAATATCCAGACACTCGGGCTCATTTCCTGGAGAACCTATAAATGTTAGAGATTGGAGTGTGTTCGCGCGCGCACGTGTCTGTGTGTGTGTGTGTGTGTGTGTGCGTGTGTGTGTGTTTCAGGGCCTTGAAATCCAGATTTAGGAAGGTCTCAGTAAAATGGCTCTGAATTCAGAGGTCAGACATACATGACCCTCAGGAAGCACCAGGTCAATCAATCCTCTAATAAAATTGAGTTGCATAGACAAAACACAACACCTGATCTCTTTAGCCAAGTTTCTCTTTACTATGATCATACAAGTCCTGTTTTGATCAATTATAGTGAAAACTTTTCTGCAAAATGTAGACAATAGTGTATAAGATCTGAAAAGGCTCTGAAGTATTCTAGTTTAGACCCTACATGTTACAGATGAAGAAATTGTTACCTACAAGGGCTTAGGATTTGCTCCCAAATTCCCCAGTACATGGTGTGTTAGGGCCAGTGTCAGAAGATCTTAAGCCTCTCAGTAACCAGGAAGGGACTTTGGCCCAGCAAGCCCTGGTCCCTCAAGCCCTGGTCCCTCCTTCAGCCTTCATGGGAACCTTCTATGTCTGCCAGGGGGTCTTCACATGGTTCTTGTGGCATGAGTGAAAACATGAGTTGGAGATCAACAAGATCACTGGCTTCTTCTCAACCCAGTTCCAATACCTGTGGACCAAGAGCAGATCTCTAGGACTGGATTACCAGTTCTCAAAAGGGGGGCAAATTTGCCTGTCCCAGCCACTCCCTGTGGAAATAGAGACAGAGTGCTGGACTGCAAGTAGAGGTGGGAGCCCCACCCTCAAGCTTTTAGAGTATCTGTGGTTCAAGGCAGTTGGACAAGGTCCTTAACTTATCTCTACTTCACTTGACTCACCTAAAAAAAATGAGGATAATAATACCTGCCTTACCCATTTCTGTAAGATCAAAAGGGAAAAATGTAAGTGAAAAGGAGTTCGAGTTGTGAAGAGAGAATGTGAAAAGTCTGGTTTAGGATGGAGCATGGTAGGTGTCCTAGGGCCATTTTATTGTAAGTGAGGTCAGCCAAAGTGGTCCCCAGCCATGTTCCTAGTGGTGGACACATCAGCTTTTCCCCCAGATGGTAGTGCGTTCAGGGCGGAGCCAGGGCTGGGACGGGGACAGCTGGTACAGCCTGGAGGAGGGAGTCCTGTGCACTCAGCTCTGAGCTCAAACCACCCAGGCCTCCACAGCTCAGCAGGACAAGTGCCTCTTGGGGCCGCTTCCCTAACAAATGAAAAAATAATGCCCTTGAACCAGGAGTGAAACTGAACTATCTAAGGAAAACACTGTGAGCAAACACCGAGAGCGGAGGGAAACATCTGATTAGACGAGCTCCCCTCAGGTGCAATTTAGGTGCACACCTTCGGCAGCAGGAGGGCGGCAGCTTCTCTGAGGCGCAGCCACAGGGCCGGTGGGCTGGGGCAATGTCCACCACCACACTCCAAGTGGTGGGGTTCCTCCTGTCCATCCTGGGCCTGGCGGGATGCATCGCCGCCACGGGGATGGACATGTGGAGCACCCAGGACCTGTATGACAACCCCGTAACCTCCGTGTTCCAGTACGAAGGGCTCTGGAGGAGCTGCGTGAGGCAGAGCTCTGGGTTCACCGAGTGCCGACCCTACTTCACCATCCTGGGCCTTCCAGGTAGGCACAATGCGCCCCTGGGGAAGGACCAAGTGGGCGCAAGCAAGGGGCTGTTCACACTGAGCCACACTCCCACCTCTGGGTGTGACCCTGGCAGCGCGGGCTCAGGATAAAAGGTGTGAATAAGAGAAATTGGCTCTGTGTCACATAGGGCAACAGTCATACAGAAGAAATGGGGGAATTCATATTCAAGGCAAAGGAATTGCTAAAAGGAGGCAGGCCATCAGAAGAATGGGTCTATTGTAAGGGCATGCTCATGATACCTAGGATAAGAGAACGTTGCTCAAGGAGAAAGTAAATTGCATGTATCATGTGTACGTGACTTGCCCCTTCCTGCACGTACATGGGACTAGGGAAGTAGGATGGTGAGTATTTTATTATAGCTGGAAAAGTTTATTGAGAGCTAATTCAATTTTATTTTCAATTCAATTAAATTTTTCTTTTGAAAATTTGGAATCTCTGTAGGTGCCAAAAAATGCCATTAAATGATAAATAGCCCTTTTTCTTCATTTGTGTTGAGAACATCTGATATATGCTCCTAAAAATCAATGTGTATTAGAATGTAATTATGGAATTATAATTATAATAATGTCAGAATATAAATATAATTACAAATGTGGCATCCTTTCACCCCTAAGATGAAATAAGTTAAACCTCTACTTTTAATATAGATAATTATTTCAAATATGCATCATAGCAACTTTGCATTCTAGATAGTATGGGAGCTCTATTTGTATTTTTTTTTCTTAGAAGTAAACAAGAAAATAATAGGTCAGGCTAATCAGTGACTCTGAGGCGTAGCCAAGATGTGAGCGTGGTGGGGAAAGGAGAACAGTGTTAGGTTTTGCCTCTCTGAAACAAATACTTTGTAAACAGGTAGGTGGAAATAAATTTGCAAGAAATTCTTAAGAGGTTATGGAGCCCTTGAAACTGAATTGTGAAAAGCAATTCAACTAATTCATCTTCATTCTCTGAAAGAAATAGAAGATGGGTTTCAGAGTAGAAGAATTGGGTTATTTATTCCATTTTTGGAAACCACTCATTGCGGGACCAACAGGATCACTGACTTCATGGAAAGACTTGCTTAGGAAGCAAGGCAAGTGGACCCTGGCCAGAGGAAAGAAAACCAGACTGAGGAAGGATTGTGCTATAGTGGGAGGGGAGAGATCAAAGGGAGGAAAATGCAAGACATGGAGTGTTGAGTTGCTAGATACACCTGTTATTTAACTATTATATGAAGAAAAAAGATTCACCTTATATTCAGAATTAAGGCATGACATCCCATGACTTCATGCTCAATAACCTCTTCCCAGGGCCCCACCACACATCATCAATCTCTTGCTTACTCGTATCACAGTTGCCACAAGTGAGGCTCCCAAATATTCCCAGTCTCCTAAATGGGCAAACCCCATTTCTGCCACCCTAACTTGTCACTCCTATTCTACCAAAGGATCCTATCCTCCCTGACCCATCTCAGAATGCCTCCACCTCTCCCCCTTGACAGTTTTACCCTGGGCTGCAACATATCCCCCCTTTCCTGCCAAGGCCGACCTCTCCACCAGTGCTCTGAAGGCCTCATGCCATCCCGTCTGGGCTATGCCCTGTGGATCAGCCCCTCTCCTTCTTGCTTCTTGCATCTCTTCTCCTCACTTATGCTTGTCCTCCTTTCCTGGAAAATCTTCTCTCCATCCTGATCGTTGTCAAGTTCTGTCTCTCTCCTGGGTCACTGACAACCAAACTAAAAGACAGTATTTTCCCACCACCTCTCACCCTTAACATTTCTCAGTCTGGTTTCCGTCCTTCATCTCTTTAGAGCAGCGGTCCCCACCCTTTTTGGCACCAGGGACCAGTTTCATGGAAGACAATTTTTCCACAGATGGGCTTAGGGGGGCAGTGGAGTTCTGCAGCCCGGTCCCTAACAGACCAAGACTGGTACTGGGGGTGGGGCCCACAGCTTTAGAGCATTTGCTTTTCTTGACTCTGGTAGAGGATGGGGGGAGTCTTCTAATCACCAGCTCCCAGTTCTCAGTTCTTGCCTCCCTAGACATTTCAAAACCCCAACACCTAAATCATGGTTCCCCATTCCCAGCTTAATGAGGTGCAGACATGACAGCCTGACACCAAGGCTTCCTACACCCTCACCTACCTTCCCTGACCTATCTCTTCCTAGTCCTCTGCCCAGTCCTATGCCTCTCCCTGTCCTTTTACTCTACTCTAGACTTGGTCCTGGACGCCCACTGCCCCCCAACTCCTGAATGCCCCACCACCACCGCAACTGCCCTTTCCACAAACCGACCCTGAAGCCTCCTCAAGCCCCCAGATTCAATAGGCTCCCACAAATCTCTGTACCAAAACCAGAGCATTCTCCTAGCATTAAGCATATTCACCCCTCATGACACTACCCACGAGTCTGAGAAGCATTTATTGCATATCTACAAAGAGTACACAACACGGAACTGGCCTTGTTGGCACCTGTAAACTCCAGGGGAGGCGACAGGCACGTGTGTAAATCAAAGCCAAGGCAATAGATGCCATGGGGCTTTCACACGTGTGTTGGGAGCAGCAGGAGGAAAGCGGTTACTCAGTGGGAAGAGTCAGGAGGGGAGGGAATCAGGATGGTTTCTGTAAGGGGTTCCATTTGAGTCTGAGCCTTAGCTTATTAACTTGGTTATTTGTGCATTTGTCTCATTCAGCTTCTGTGTTGCAGGTCCCTTCAGCTAGGTAAGAATTCTTTCCCCAGTTCCAGGATAGGACTGGTAGAGTGAGTATTCAGCAAATGGTTGATGAAGTAACTCGAACTGAATAGGAAGAATAGTTTAAGTGTTTATGAGAGCCATATGAACTAAAAACAAGTCAATAGTTTTCCACCAAAAAACACAGTAGATTGCCTTTGTACTACAATTTTTTGCGATTATGCCTCCATATATAGAAAAGGATTTTGTCCTCCTCCCTCCTGAAACAGATTCATTTGTTCATCCAAACATGTATTCAACAAATATCTTTTGCATGCCTCCTGTGTTACAACAATGAGAGTGTCAAGGACTGTATTAGTCAAAGTAGTTAATGTCATCTGTGGCAACAAACAAACCTAAATATCTCAGTGGCTTAACACAATGAAGTTTACTTCCCGCCTATTAAAGTCCATTGTGGGAAAAGCAGGCTCCTTGCAGTTACACTATTCAAAGTTGCTGGGGCCAGAGAAGGAAGGTTTGAAGGAGACATAACAGCTCTTAACTGCCTCAGCCGGGAAGTGCATTGGCCAGACATAGCCATATGGCCCTGGGAGCTGGGAGAGGTAGGAGCCTACAGCCAACTGGTGAGCACCTACTGTCTCTGCCATAGGAACCACTTGAAGAGTAACTGCCAGGGCTGCAACAGATCAACCACACTGATTCCAATTCTGCTAGACAGATAATTCCAGTCAAAACTGATGACAGTGCAAAAGATATACCATTGATGTATATTCACTTTTCATACAAGTATTGAATTCCTCTATGTGTAAAATATTGTCTGATACAAGATAATATAGTGTGTGTGGTTTTGGAAGCCAGACTGTTTTGTGGGGGTGGCCTGCAATCAAGAAGGAGGTGGGGTTTGAGGTGAGTTTTTGCATTGTAAAATTCCCCGGCATGTAATATCAGAGGAACGTAAATATAGTCATGGAAAAAAGCACAATTTTTACAAAAAGTAAGGAGCAAGAAAGGAAAGGC